GTGTACCCATTCACACCTTTTCAACAAAGCTGACAGTGAGCCAAGTTATTTAGATCACGGGCATCATTTACTCGGCCTCAAAAAATAACTTACAACTTAATTGTGCGTGGAAATAACATTGAGCCACAGGAGAACACTAACCTCCTACAACAATAACCGGAATGGAACAATTCAATATTCCGGGCCGGAAACAATCAAGCACTATACCTTGCGATTAATATCGAAAAGCGGCGATGTCCACTCTTAAATTCTGGTTAAAATCCTATGATCATCAATTATATGAGTAGGTATTATCGGTATTTGGCAGAAACGCCGATGTGACACCGATTTTCATTGTTTGTTTACATTTCCATGAAGGCGTGGGAAATGCGGGGTGGCGGGGTGGGGAGGAGGAGAGGGGTATGATTCTTTCCTGGGGTAGGCAACCCCGCCTCGCTTGTGATCCTTTGGGGATGCTTCCTGTCCCTTGCATCGTTGTGTGGCTCCAGACGGCAACGCCAGGGAAGTGCCATGTGACAATAGTGAAATGATCAGGATAAAAAACTATGATGGGCGATTTGCTAGACGTTTGGTTTGGAGCCGAATCGTATTTGTCGTGGGAGTGTCATCGGCGTGCTCGGGAGGTCCCCAATGACGTCCCCGGGGGCCCGGACGACATCGGCTCTACCAGATTTGGACTCAGCGTGCGAGAAAACCCCGAACACGATATTTCAGTCGTCCTGGTCGTTCCGAGGTTGACGGTCGGTCGGTAGGTCGGCCAAACCGTATCTTACTTTGACAGCCCCTTTGTCAGAACCCACCAGAACACCATTCCAGTAGCCTAACACGGTCTCTTGAGTGTTGCTGTTCAATGTAATTATTGCATTTCAAGGAACTCCAGGCACGTAGGCAACCCATTCTACACGTCTATCATGACATCAACCTAAAAACTATGTGATCGGTGCTCTAATTATTCACTTGAAGTCATTGTGTACCCTGCATCCTAAAATCTCTCACCTTTTTAATTCTGGCTTAGCTCTGACAAATTAAGAAAAATAACTCATCACATCATGACCTCAGTATGCTTAGGTCAAAAACTGGAAATGATCTCAGTGACTCAAGTTCAAAATGAAAACTACTTTACCCAGCCTAAGCACATTATATTTCACCTGCCAACTAAAGACAAGGATTGAAGATACTATTCAACTGTGTCTTTGTTTATTAGATTTCGTTATGATACAAATTTTGTTAGTGCAATATGAGATACATTCCATCATGCAGTGCTCCAATAAACTCCCTACCAAAGCTTACAATAACAATGTAGCTAAACATTTGTTAAAAAATATAGATATTCATATACAAATAAAATGATTAACATACAAATAGAAAACATGATAAATTTCTCAACAATTCAATGTAAATTTAATATACTCTGTATCTAATGTAAGTGGCATTAATTTCAGAATTGGCATCCACTGCAGTAAACAGCAGTGATACAAAAAATAATACAACATCTTGGTACATTACTCCTCCTTTCCACTAGTTCAAAAAGTTGTTATTGAAGGTACATGAGGATACACACAGACATAATACTGCAAGTGTTTTGAGTTAAAAATACTGAAAATACTCCAAAATTTTGTAAAGGAGATATGTTAATACAACAGTTTAGTATCCTTTATGAATTTCTTAAAACTATGGAAAATGGCAAGAAAGCACAATGACTAAAGAATGTTTTGAGTGTCATTTGACCCAAGAGATATGGCGTCACAGTAACCCACTAGCAACATAATTTTGGATCCCCAAGGTCCAAAATCCTAGCAACTTACAATTCATACCATGGCATAAGACAAGCCAATGTTGGACCTGAGAAACAAGTTTTTCAATTCCACAATTGCCTGAACCAACGAACAATGGACCACAGGTAATCAAAAATTTGGCATCTAGAAACAAACTGTGACACCGATTGAAGACATTTGGAACAGAAAGACTTGTCTAAGGTTTTCGGCACAAATAAAAACAGAATAACATCAACTAATGACCACAAGAGTACTACATAGTACTACATAGTTCAATAAAAAAAAAAACATTTTTCATTGTAATTTTCACAGCAATAAATCTTTCAATGAGACAAGTTTATTATCGCTGTTTGGTGATTGAGAGAAAACCAGTAATAGGTGCAAAATAAAATCATAACAAAAGAAGAGAGATCTTGATACAAAGTATTACAAATCACAAATATGCAATAACTGTAGCAACGCTACCATCACAAGTTAACAACTTAATTATTTCCTGATTTTTGTTTTGTTTAAATTTGGCAGCACAGAAGAATTTTTTAAGATAAGGATCATAATTATGGGATAAGGTAGGGCAAGAACATGTGTCCTACACACATTATCATTCCTCTATAATTAAAAAAATAGCAACAAACTCTTTCCATTATTTGAGAAAGGGGTTGAACTTTCTGCTGAAAGCTCATTTCACAACCGAACTTCCAGAAGATATATGTAACCAGGTGTTTCAGCCATACTTGCATGACAATTTAGCCAGTTCACAAAAAGTAAGTCATAAAATTCCGAGCCTCAGTGAAGAACAGAAGTATTTAGCCAAAATGTGAAATCTCTCATATGCACAACAACATTCTCTTAATCTTAATTCATTGTAATTATATTGGGTAACAAAACAAATCTTTAAAAAGTAAGAATATTGTCATCAAGTATCTTACAAAATGGAATTCAAAAAATGCAAATAAAATATGATTAAAATACTTAACAAATTTGGAATACATAGTTAAAGAGATTTCATTAGCATTCATTTTACACAGTAACAGATGGGGGAACCCAACCACCAAATGCCTTTTCCAATTCCACAGCCATTGCAATGGTTAGGTGATCATTACCATATGTTCCAACAGCCTGAATTCCTATAGGAAGACCCTCTGAACCAAGGCCGAGAGGAATGTGCGTTGCTGGAAATCCCATTATATTAAATATACCAGCATAAGCAAAGTTAAACGGCTTGATAAGAGGTTCATTGTGAAATGGCGCAGGTGTTGGATGAGTCGGGTACAAGAAAACACCATCATCTCCAAGCATATCCTGGAAAAATTATGGATTTAAAAAAGCTGCACATTTTGTACCTTGCCAGTTTGTGCTATAACGATAGTAGTACACTACCATGAACTTACAGTAAGCTGCATTTGTAGTTGTTTGCTTTGTTCCACAAGGTACTGATGCTTAGGACTCCCATACTTCACACCAAAGCCTTCCATTACAACGGTAAAAAGCGCAATTAATGTGTGGTGGGACATACAAAGGAGCCATTTTAAAAGTTCCCATGCAATGTTAAGGTTTCCCTGCAGGAGAGAAACAAAAGAATAAGTGGGTACAGTACTTTCTAATAATATTCAAAATCTTTGAAAATTTCAACTTGCTTCATTATTGGACAGTTCTTGGGCAAAACGAGAACCGGATCTGCTCTTCATTCTTGCCAGCCAAATTGGACCAGACATGCTAAGGGGTTTCAATGACACCTGATGGCAAGATAGATAAGTTAGTTTCTTCACAATAAGACAATAGTGTGTTTCAATTTATAGAGATTATATTTTAAAATGGAATAACCTTTTGAGCCTTAATCCCATGAGCTTTTTCCAAATAGGTGATTACGTTTCGTAGAGAAGCTTTTATGTCAGGATCAACTGGACTTATAAATGAAGATCCTCCGTCATCTTCTGCATAAAATACTTTTACTTTTTTCATGTCAACCTAGAACATAGTAAATGGTTAACAACAAGATGCATTAATAATAATTAAAAAAAAAAATATTTAAAAAAAAGCAAAATTACCGGGGAATCCAATTTAAGTTTAGATGCATTTTTATCAGCAACAACTCTCAAAATTGGTAAAAGATCAGAAGCATAGCGTCCCATGGGCCCCAATCCGAGGAAAGAAGCATGGTCCTCATCACTTGGACTGGGAAACTGACCTTCATTAGATACAATGACTGAAAACATACAACAGTAGGATAATTATCGTTAACACAGCTCCTGGATTTATATACAACAAAATCAAGAAAAACTCACATTTCGATGGCTTGTGACCAAAGATGCCATTGAAAAAACAAGGCATACGAATGGAACCACCTATGTCAGAGCCAATTCCAATGGGAGAAGCACCAGCAGCTAAGACAGCTCCCTAATCAAGAAATATTTTCAAAATTATTATGGAAGCTAATTTTTAAAACAAATACTAAACCTTCATATTTCGGTCAGACCTCTCCTCCAGATGAACCACCAACGATTCGGCTCGCATTATAAGGATTTCGGGATCTTCCATGGACATAATTATGACTCTCCCACCACATAGCAAGCTCTGAAACGTTGGTAACACCAAGAAGAATGGCACCCGCCTTTTTCATACAAGCAACAGCGTCAGCATCTCTTGTGCCTTTAATTGCACGTCTCTTGTAAAGTCCAGCAGAAAAACTCAACCCTAGGATTGAAAAAAAAAGTAATTCGTGAAAAAATGTGCTAAGCCGTAATTCATAATATGGACTCAGGAAATAATTAATTAAAGTTACTTCATTGGGTGTTTCTCACCTTCAGATTGTAGACATTCCTTTGTGGTGAATGGAACACCAAGAAATGGTTTTTCTTTTGCAAGAACAGTCTCTGACTTCTGACCAGATGCAATAAGTTCATCAGCTGATTTTGCCTCTTCTAAAGCAGCAGCAAACCGATTATCAACCATTGAGTTAATAATCGGATTCACTTCTTTGATTCTTGCAATGAATGATTCAACAACTTCAACACTTGAAACCTAGACAAATCGGAAAATATTAATTCTCCTAAAATTGAATACAAAACAGAAGGTATTTCAATGCCAAGTACCTACCTTTTTGGTTCGAATTTTAAAAGCTAATGACGAAGCAGACTCTAATAGAAGAATGTTATTAATTGGTGGGACTTTTTCATTTGAGCCATAATAAATTATACTGAAGAGAAGACGAGCAGCCAGCTCTACAATTCTATGAAAGATCCGAGCCGCTACTTTCTTGAAGCGGCGGGGAGTTTCATTGGCTGATTCAGACATTGTTCAGCTCAGCCTTTGCAATAACTAGAAGATAATCAAAAAGGTTGGAACACATTAGAACAACATGAGAGATGCTTGACACCTGTTGGATAAACAAGTGAAAGTACACGGAAATGCTGATGGAGGTGTCAAATGGAATCGTGGACAGTAGTCTCTATGCGTTCACACATCAGTGCTAAACAACTAGGTAAACAAACCCACTGACAGATTTCATGACAAAGGGTGTTGGTTAGCAGTAATCACACGCCTAGTAACATCATGATAAAGGTAATATAAGTAAAGTAAAACTTAATACCAATAAATATTTGTCTTTAAGTAGAAAACTGCCTGGAGGAAGCATTGTAATCTATGTTGGAATATAAAATTCCCGAGGACATAGACATAAACGAGGTGGTATAAGAGGCCAAATAAGTGCCACGGGTCTATTCCGTTTTCGGTGACACGAAGGAGGGTGCTCACCCGGTATTCACCAAATGAGGATAGCTACCTACCGGCACAGCAAAACCTAACCTCAAACGTGACACTGCTTTCTTCCAGGTATCGTTAAAGCAATCGACAATTCATTGACAATGTTACTTATGAACTAAAACTAAACCAGTATCGAACAAAACAGGCTGACATAAGCGGCCTGGTACGTTTGCCATCACAGAATTGCATTTCTAGACAAAGACTGGTGATCATTCTGAGTGTTGTTTTTTTGGGTAATTAGTTTTAAGGGTTAACCAAAGGCGCTAATAAATAAAGTTACTTACCTTTCCGAGAGATATACGTTAAAGCGAGTTTGGTTGGACACATAAGCATTACATGTCTCGAGGAAAAGCAGAGGAAGCACACGATCGGATGGATTATTTGTTCAGGGTCAATGCCGGACCGAGGACCGAGGTGAATGAGAATAAGAAAGATGGGGCGGTGGAAGCGGGGAGTGGGGTGCGGGCGGAGAGGGAAGTACGGAGTGGGACAGAGGGGGGAGGGGGCGGCTAGTAACAGATTAAGGTGGAAGGGGAAGCCACAGTCGAGAACCAGTAGTGACGCAAACGAAACAGAAATCACCACTCCAATCTAGCACCTGGTTTGATAAACACTGCTGGACTTGTCGCTTTACGTCGTCATCGTCTAGCGTCCCATGCACGTTTTCGTGGAAAACTACTCCCCATGCTGCACTCCCCCTGCTGCGCCATCTCATTGCCTTTAACGTATGTCTTAATTCATGGGGGCAGCTCGCTTGACAAAATAACGTTTCCCCTAACAGAGTGATTCATCGTTCCGCATCATTTCGAGTTGTCACATTAATTTCATGGCGATCATGCACAAAATACATACGTGTAACAACAATAATCAGGTTCAATTTAGTTCCCTCCTGCTCCCGTTGTGCGGGCCAGACACAGACATCGAGTGCGGGTCGGTCAAAGGACAAGTCCAGGAGGCCAGGGTTGAGAGGGGGGGGGGATATTGAACCCCTTTCTTATCGCCGTCCATCATGACACGAAGCCCTCCATCGATCGAAGAGAGTTCTGCATGCCAACGCTCTTTTCGACACGCGAGAATAAAAACCGCTCACCTCTAGCGACCGTTTAGAAAACCGCTTACCTCTGGCGACCGTCTGGAAAACCGCTTACCTCTGGCGACCGTCTGGAAAACCGCTTAAATGACTTTTTAACACATTTTGTGATATTGGTATCAAAATGATCCCGGAAAGACGCTGATTCTATTGATATCAATATCTCAAAATGTGTAAAAAAGTCATTTAAGCGGTTTTCCAGACGGTCGCCAGAGGTGAGCGGTTTTCCAGACGGTCGCCAGAGGTAAGCGGTTTTCTAAACGGTCGCTAGAGGTGAGCGGTTTTCATTCTCGCGTGTCGTTTTATCTTGATCGGCACTACTCAGAAAAAAATGGAGTGTACGCATTTTCTTGAAAGCGATTAGTTCAGACCGCTCGGTCCCACCTGAAAGACGAGAAGCTGCCCAGTTAAGACTCGCACCTGCGTGCGTGACTCACACTTCATTTACCGTGACGGTGATTCGACATTGAAGTCGATGGAATTCTCACCTCACTCACCTCTGTCGAAGGATGTGTGGGAAATTGGCCAGGAAATAAAAATGCAATGAAAGACGGCACACTTTTTAAAATGTATTACTCGTGATGAGTAGAGTGACTAGATTGTCAGACATACAAAGTAGATCAGTTCCAGTAAAGGCACTAATCCATTAATACAAAATAAAATAAGTACTAACATTTCTAACAAGGAGTGACTTAAGCTAAGTCTTGTACAGCAAGCCCAAAATTAGGAAAGCATTGAGGTACAAGTGATGGACCCCTTTTTTGGAACCATTTTAGGAGTTTCAAATATTATTTACATGTTTTCTGTACAAGTTTAGCAGACTGCGCATGTTTTACAAGTTTATCTATCACATAATTAAATCTAGAATCACAAAACTATGAAATATCACGAAATAAAATTTGTAACTGATAGTCTGCCGTAATCGGACAGCGGATGTCAAAGTAACGAGTTTCTTTCAGTTTCTTTTCGCTTATATAAAAACACAGTCAACACTAAAACGTCACGAGGGCATCATTTGACGTCCTGGACGTCATTAGGCCAAAACGTAGGCTGAAAACGCATCACTTGGACGCCAACATGATGGCAATATGACAATGGCATATTATTCATAGTTGGACATTATTGAATAATTTTCCGAACTGACGCTTTTTTTGAAAGAAAACTAGCTCAGGTCTACGCAAAACCGCGCGCTTCGTAGGTGGCAATATTGGTCCCATGATACACCTGAGGGTGGGCTAACAGTAATGTGAATTAATTAATAACCCAAGAGCCAGAGATTTGTCAAAACGACACCAAAGTGGTGTGATTGTCAAAATTTAGTCATCTTACCTGCCTCAAATGATATCAAAATGATGTCAAATGATGCGGCATTGACATCAGTTTATGGAAATCCGCGTGTTTCAGACAATGATGTCACTTTGAGGTAATTTGGACAAATCTGAATCTATTGGGGGCATCAAAAACGCAAGAACTAAAGTCTCGAACTCAAACTAAAGGACTCATGGTAACTTTCAAACAAAAAGAAAGCACAAAAAAATTCTTCAAGTAAAATTGTGGGGCCTTCAAACATAATTCAATTTGAATTGTAGAAGGCTAATTCGTGTCCCTCAACATTTTTTGTCGACTTCTTGTGTAGTCAGTCGTGCCTATATCTACAGTGAGGGTGTCTCGGTCTCGAGTTGGTTGGGTAGAAGCGCCGTGGTAGGTGGAACGGCTGTGGTGGTAGTGATGGTTGCGGTGGAAGTGGTGGTTGCAGCGGTTGTCGTTGCAGCGCTCTGTAAGCTCCTGTTGTTGTTGTTGTTGTTATTAGAATTGTTGTTGTTGGACCCGGTGGTCGGGACAAACTGCAGGATAATAACTGTCACAAGGATGACCAAGATGACAGCCAGGATGGCGTACAGGATTATCCGTTTCTAAAAAATGAAAGCGAAAGCGTATCGATCAAAACAGGCGAAAACACCAAGACTAAATTCACGTATTTTGTGAACTACTTGCTGCATGGACCCTTACCTTCTTAAACTTGCTCTGGTACTTGATAGCTTTCTTGGCCACCACGTTGGCTGTCTCCACGTGGTCGCGGGTCTGCTGCACCTGCCGCTCGATGTTGTTGATCATGTCGCCCTGCCGCTCCACCAGCAGCGACATCTCCACGAACATGTCGCGCAGGTCCCGGATGGAGCGCTCCAGCTTGATGATCTCCTGGTGGCGCGCCGTCACGTCCTCCAGCGCCTGCCTGGCTTCCAGCGTCTCCGTGATGATCTGCGACAAGTCGGAGACAAGGGCCATCGCGTCACGAGCCAGTCGAAGGGAACACGTCGATACCTCGTGAGCCTGTGGGCGTCGTTTACTTACGTCGCCGTTGAAAATGGAGCCGAAGTTGCCCGTCTCCATCAGGTTCTCCAGCTTCTCATCGCTCACCTCCACCTTAGCTGCACAAAAAAGCGAGCGTTAGGCGCGGGCCCTCTCAGAGCTACCTCGCCAGAGAGGCGGGGTGAGGCGGGCACCGCCGAGGCCGCGGACCTGTAAGGTACCTTACCTATGCAAATGACCCTCTTGATGCGCTCCTCGCACTTGTTCTTGTAGTCCTCCTGCTCGGCGTTGAACTCGGTGAGGGCCTCGACCAGCAGGTGCAGGCAGGTGGAGTGCTGCGTCCGCCGTATTCTCTGCGCGGCCGAGCTGCCACCCGCCGTGCTGTCCGCCTCCAGGCCCCGTTCCAGAGCTGCGGATAGACATGGGGTGAACGGGATCATTTGGTTAAAGCTCTCCAGGAATAGACCATCGAAGGCGCCCCTTCCCTTACCTTTCAGTATGTGGGTGACCTTCTTCACTGCCGATTTAACATCCGCTGACCGCCTTTCCAGCTCCTCTTTGATGCCTGCAACGTCAAACGTCAGAGTTGTGATTAGCAGACTACGTTGTAGATAAGGGATCGTCCAGAAAGTATACGTCCGTTTTTCACAGGTTCATTCGGCAAATTATGAGAGCTCGGCGCCTGCGAGACTCCGGGTAGGCCACCCCGCAGTACGCTCATGCACTGCAGTCGAGATGTTGC